GGGGGAGTGGGGCAGGGGCCTGTCCCCTCTGGGGGGCGCCGGCTCCCATCCAGCCCCAGGGCGGGGAGTGGCTGACTCAGGGAGGCCGGGAACAGGGGAAACTCACCTTCCCATAGAGGTCTTTGTGGGGCCCAGCCATGATCAGCACGGCGCCCCCGGCCACCAGCCCCAGTGGCTCCTCCTCGCCCCCCTGGCGCTCTTCGCCCGGCTTGGGGGGCCGTGGGGGGCGGGCCGGCTGCAGGTCCTGGATGGCCGAGCGGTCGGCTCCCAGGCCCAGCCCCCTGGGGCGCAGCTGGTGCTCCAGGGGCTTCACATCCCTAAATAGGGGGGAAGGGATATTCAGGGACACCCCCCCAAACTGACCTTTGACCTGCACCCATCTATCACCGCCCCATAATGACCTATGATCCCCCCATTGGTTTATAACCTCACCCAAACTCTCCCTGCCCCCCCATATGACCCCTCCACCTCCTGCCTCCACCAGATCTGACCCACAACCCCCCCCGATCTATGCCCGCCCCCCCGGGGTCACTCACTGCTTGAAGGTGCGTCCGATGCCCTCGCCCGCCTTCCAGCCCATGCCCCTCAGCATGGCAACGCCGTAGGCCTCCACAGGAACCACCTCGTAATCTGCCTCCGTCGACTGCAGGAGGAGAAGGGCAGGAGCGACGTTAACCCGCGGAACTACCTGCCACAGGACCAAAGGGGCCCTGCCACAGGGGGTGGGACTCCAGGGACGGATGGGAGGCTGTCGGGGGACCCTCTTACCGATTCTGGCCGCAGGCTCACATCCACCCGGTCGCTGTCCTCGTACCCGTCAGGGACGCGGTTCTGCAGGAGCAGGGGGATGGCCAGGTTGGGGTCAGCCTTGGTGCCGCTCTCCCACCGCTCCTGGGACTGCCGGCACTCTGCAATGCACAGGAATCTGTCAGGAGCCGGACGCCTGGGTCCCAGCCCCGGCAGTGGGTGCTAGTGGTTAGAGGGGGGGGGACTGAGAGCCAGGACTCCTGGGTTCTCTCCCCGCTCTGGGAGGGGAGTGGGGGCTAGTGGGTTAGAGCACGGGGGGCTGAGAGCCAGGACTCCTGGGTTCTCTCCTGGCTCAGGGAGTGGGGGCTAGTGGTTAGAGCGTGGGGAGGGGGGGGGGCGGGCTGGGAGCCAGGACTCCTGGGTTCCCTGCCATGCTCACCCTCTATGATCTCCCTCACGGCCTGGGACTCCACGCCATCATCCTTCTGGTGGTCCGGGGCCCCCACAGGGGGCGTCTCCGGCTTCTTCCATTGGTTGCGCTGGATCAAGGGGATGATGAGTGCCTTAGGGGGCGGGGCCGGCCGGAGGCTGGGGACCAAAGTGAAACCGTCCCGTTACCATGGGATACCTGGAACGTGCTCCAGCCCCCTGTGCCATGGCTCCTCCCACTGCCCCACCCCCAGTGGGCCTGCCCCAATGGCCCCTCTCCTACTCTCACCCACTGCATGCAGACCCTGCGCTCAGCCCCTCCTCCCCATGGCCCCTCCCACACTGACCTCCCCACCCGCATGTGATCCCACCCACCTGCATGGCCACACCCCCTCCCGCCCCATGCCTCCTCCCTCAGACACGCCCCTTTCCGCCCACGGCCCTTCCCCCAGACACGCCCCGTCCCTCCCCATGCCTCCTCCCCCAGACACACCCCCTCCCACCTCCCGCCCCCTCCCCAGACACACCCCCTCCCGCCCCACACCGCCTCCCCCAGACACACCCCTTCCCGTCCCACGGCCCTTCCCCAGACACGCCCCCTCCCCCCAAACACACCCCTCCCCCCCAGACATGCCCCCTAACCTCCCCATGCCTCCTCCCTCAGACACGCCCCCTCCCCCCAAACACGCCCCCTCCCCCCAGACACACCCCTCCCGCCCCACACCGCCTCCCCCAGATACACCCCTTCCCGCCCCACGGCCCCTCCCCCCAGACCCGCCCCACGGCCCCTCCCCCCAGACACACCCCTTCCCGCCCCACGGCCCTCCCCCCAGACCCGCCCCACGGCCCCTCCCCCCAGACACACCCCTTCCCGCCCCACGGCCCTCCCCCCAGACCCGCCCCACGGCCCCTCCCCCCAGA